AATAGTGCTGATGTACACGATATGATTATTGTATTGCTAGTAATTCGCATGTATTCTCATAATTTCTACATTGTTTGTATTATAAGTGGATGTGTATATATATTTGAAGGATTTAATCGCTCATATTGTTACAGTTCACCATTGAAGATGAGTGGAGTTCCCCCGAAACGTCTGGTTTAAATGAACCAAAGCACTACGTTTAGATTGTTGATCTTCGTTGCTATGCTAGTTTTTTTTTAGATTCTTATATATATATATATATATATATATATATATATATATATATATATATATGCACTCACAAACAGACGCAAATACCATCTATATGTCTGTCTGTCTGTATATGAATATGTATGTATACAAAATATATATTTGTTTGTGTATGCGCCTGCTTGTGTGTGTATGTGCTGTGCTGTATATGCTGGTATGGAAATACATATATATATATATATGTATATAGATGTGTGTGTGTGTGTGTATGTGTGTGTGTGTGTGTGAACGGTGTATGTGGCTATGTACGTGTATTTTTGGGTAGATTTAGTCAGTGTGGACACTGTGACAGTAATTGCGTTTGTTAATAAACATTAGATTTAAAAACTAATTATAACTGATAGATCATTTCCATGAATTTTGATTACAATCCAATTATCGACAAAACAAAACATATTATTCTGACAACATTTACATGACACCAGTCATTAATGACCAAAATTACATTGACCGTCGCTGCTTTTTTAAATATATTTATTGTTCAAGCTAGTTACCATGATGCCTTTCCTTCAAAGATTGTAATATACACGGTTATAAAAGATAATAAAAAAAATGATGAAAAGGAAGGTGATAGGCGCATTTACCACGCAGTTTTTTTCGCCTATGCAAGACATTATATCCAAATCAATAAGAATAAACAAATCCTACGACTATTTACCACCAAAGTCAAGGCTTTCACCAAAGGCCACGGAAGAGAAGAGAATAATAGCGGAGAAGCATTAAGTATAAAGTACTGTTACTACTGCTGCTGTGCTTTTGTAAGAGGGTTAGATCTACGAGGTTTACTAAAATGCAGGCGATGTCGTTGCGCTGTATTGTTTGTGACGGATGTGCCAATGGTCGCATCATTGCAATCCTTATTCAATTTACGTGCGTAATGAATATAAGAGAAACAGTTAGACACACATTTGTAAGTTACAGATGCTACATCATAATTCCACAGTAAGCACCATACATAAATTAAAAGAGCCCCTTAATGTGTCGATAATAAAAAATGCTAAACTACGTTAACCTTTCCTGCATCGCAAACTTTGATAATGTTTTGGTTATGTCATTCCAGGTAATTGGTAAGGAGCCATTCTCTGGTGACAGATGTCTTTCATACGATTCTGTAGATTTGGCCTACACACACACACACACACACACTCACACATATATACATAGAAATAAACACACACACACACACACACACACACACACACACACACACACACACACACACACACACACACACATATATATATATATATATATATATATATATATATATATATATATATATATATATATATATATATATAATCTATATATGTATAGATATATATATAGATATAATTTATATATATATATATATATATATATATATATATATATATATATATATATATATATATATAAATACACATATACATATAGGTAAGCAGATATGTACATAGATACTTAGACAGATATCAATTGCAGTACTAAAAGTAGTGGTTTCCATTCGGAGGGCTAACAGGCGGGTCGCGAAGCCTTGGGTTAAAATATTGTAAGCTAATTTGCTGAAGGTTCGTTAGTGGCCATTTATCTCAAAGAAATACTATACTACAGTAAGGTAAATACAGGTCACTGAAATGATTTCTCAATCTTAGCCTAAGAATGTCTAGTAAGAAAAAAAGAACGTCTGATGTGTAAGAAGTTGGGAATCATGACAGAGAGAGAGAGAGAGAGAGAGAGAGAGAGAGAGAGAGAGAGAGAGAGAGAGAGAGAGAGAGAGAGAGAGAGAGAGAGAGAGAGAGAGAGAGAGAGAGAGAGAGAAAGAGAGAGAGAGAGAACGAGAGAGAGAGAGATAGAGAGAAAGAGAGAGAGAGAGAGAGAGAGAGAGAGAGAGAGAGAGAGAGAGAGAGAGAGAGAGAGAGAGAGAGAGAGAGAGAGAGAGAGAGAGAGAGAGAGAGAGAGGAGAGAGAGAGGAGAGAGGGAGGGAGAGAGAGAGAGAGAAAGAGAGAGGGGGAGGAGGAGGCAAGAGAGATACGTACCAGCAATGAAAAGTGACCTTTTGCAAAACGTTTTGATACTCTCTTCACAATTATGGATTCATCCATAGGTCTTTATTTAAAATAGTTACCCATATATACATTTTCCTTGAAATCTTACATTTTCTGTTGATTACATTTAGGGTAAACTAAATTAAGAATAGTTTCCAAAAGTTCATTTACCTTCATTAGCCATGCTGTTATTTGTAATGGTGAGTGCGATGCAGGAAGTCCTGAGTTATGCCTTTTAATATCACATTAAAGTGCAAGGGCATCCTTCTGTTAGATATTCAGCTGCTTTCAACCAATAGGTTAGCCCATCACAAAACTCATACATTGTTATCTTTCCTCTGTTATTGCTGTCGTTATGTTGATTCTTGTTATTGTTATGGTTACTGCCATTACTAATATTGTTGTCTACATTCTCCTTATTCTTATCATTATCATTATCATCACCATTATCTTTATTATTATTATTTGTTATTATTATTACTATTGTTGTTGTTGTTGTGTTGTTGTTGTTGTTGTTGTTGTTGTTGTTGTTGTTGTTGTTCTTGTTATTATTATTATTATTATTGTTATTATTATTATTATTATTATTATTATTATTATT